GGTCCCAGTTTGTGGGCTGAATCAAGCTAGCTATTTTGGAGATACATGAGGTCTATTAGTGCCTGATACATATTCACAACTCTGATAGGCAGCTGTTGGATGTAGCTAGAGTTCGCTAAGTGTGCCCCCTCTCCTCAACTTATCCTTGTATCAAACTGGCACAAGGCCAGTCAACATTTGAATCTGTTTACTGTAATATGTGTAACTTCTGTGCCTCTAGGTAACAGAGTCTGAAGACAGTCTGAGGTTCACAGCATACTTAATATTATTTCAGTCTTAAAGCAGAGAAACTCTGTTACCAGTTCCCTTTACATATCTGTATTTCAAGGTCAGATATTTTCTGTCAGACTCCTGAAGCACATACATCTACAAATAAAGGTATATATGCTTGCCATTAATATTATGATACTTTTTGGTACCCTTTTTAATAAAGGAAAATTAATGTCTTGGAAATATTTTCATTTTGCACACTGATCAAATTGATACATTTAAAAGCCCTTATTTAGGTTAAAAATAGGTTTTAATATCCTGATAAGTTCATTCCAGCCTCATCTTCTGTGTGAGCAATGCCAAGTAATATGAATAGTGTCTACTGACTTGTATGTAAAGGTGAGGTTCATCTTAAACAGTCAGCTCTGAAAATTAGAGAGCTCTGATTCACTTTGAATCGTTTAGAACCTGATTCCATTTACACTTGCTATGGGTGGTTCTGCTCTATGAGCTTCATCACTGCACTTGGTTAGTACTATTGTTGTATTGTAATCTGCATTAATTATCTAATAATTAGTGAATAGCTGCTCTGAAGCATGGCCTAAACCTTTAATAAAACTTTTCAGATTTTTGTTAATAGAATTTTGTATGCTGGTAAATTATATGCAAGTAGATCTTTATCACAAAAGAAGCTTGCAGGACCACTAGAAAGTCTCTCAGGTATAAGCTGACTGTTATCTTTTTGTCACTAAGCTGTATTTCAGAGCACCCATCTTTGGTCATCTTATTTATAATTGTAAGCCATCAAAAAATGAGTGATTTTTGTTTGATAACAAGATTAGAACACTTGTTAGTTACAGAAGTTGAACTTTCATTAACACAATTTTCAAAAATATTTTTGTACCAAGCATTAGATAAAAAGGACAGGTTTTACACCTGATTTATATAGTTACAGTTATCCAACCAGTAAAGTCAGAGAGAATGTAACTTATTCAGATATAATGTTTTAGAAGGAAAACTGATTGGAATATTTTGCCCCATTCTAATTCTGAGCATTGAAAAGAGATCATAAATGAGACTGAAAATTACTGCTTTTTCTATTATACTTCATGTTAGTGTGGGATTAGTGCTGGTTAGCCAATTTTGGAAAAATGTTGCTTAGCCTTTTCCATACTGAAGATGACAAAATATTTATTTTTAAATTTTCTTGAAATAAGTATGGGGAAAGAAAGATCTACAGCATGTGAAAAAGTATGATTCAGTGTTTATCAAGTTATGATTTATTAATAGCCACAATGCTGTAAACAGATGCTTTAGTGAAAAGAAACAAAATAGTCCTTGTACTGAGTAGGAAAAAGTATTTAAGGTCAAGAGTACTGTAACTAAGTTTTTTTTTTTTTTTAAGTTATTAAATTTATTGTGCCTGCAGTACAGAATGCTGTAGTTGAATATATAATGCTGCTTGCATTCTGGAAGCATTACATTTTCTGTGAAAATTCATCTCCCAGTGCTGTTCTTTTATATTCTGATGTTTGGAGTCAAAAGTACAGGGATATCATTCTTGAGGGCCACGCAGGTTTTTCAGGCAATACAAGGCTTTATCAGCCTTGTGTTAACTTCCCTTTTAGTGTTAATCGATAGCAATGTGGAAAAAATCTAGCCATGTTTCATGGGAAAATAAGCTGCCAAATTTGCTTCCCTGAGCTTGCAATGGTGTGTGTGCTTGTTCAGGTGGGGTATCTGTGCCCTGAGGGTAAGAGGAGAGCCTCTGCCAGTTTGAAGATAGCCAGGAGGGCTGAGTGGTGATGTGCGGGACGGAGTTGGGAACTATGCAGAGGATCACGTGGGAGATAACAAGGGAGGTGGGGTTTCTTTCCTGAATTAAGAAACTCTCTGAAGTTCAGAGGTTAGGTCTTACACTCCCCAGTGAGCTATATTTTATGTGCAAGCGTACTAGGTTATTTTTTCCAGTGTTAGCGGTAACCTGCCTAGCCTGCCTGAAAGGCATTGCAAAGACTTCTAAGAGGTTTGAAGAAAGTATTTCCAGTTAACAAGATCTTCGAGATTCCTGTAGTGTTTTGCTGTTGTTTTTGTTTTTCCCCATTTTCCTGAGAAAACATAAATTATGAAGTTGTGCTTACTGCACTGGTCTGTCGTGATGTCCCTTTCCCTCTCCCCTTACTAGTTTTTAGTCCTTTGGCAAATTTTGAACAGGTTTGAGACCAGTACTGAGGTCTAAAGCATACTCGTTTTCCAGTGGTTCCATGAAGATGTTTGCCTCTTTGATTAATGCTCCCAGTATGGGAAAGACAGAAGCATGAGCTAAACTTCTGCTAAACAACAATAATTCACTTGGCTGTTCACTGTCAGGGTGCAAATTCAAAGGAGATCAAGCTTCGCTGATTCTACTCTGCGAGATGTTGTTTTTTCACACTTCGGAATGGTGGTTTAACCCTAATTCTAAATGTATGAATTTTAAATATTGGGTGGTGTGTTGTTATATTTTTAAATTTTATTATTTTAAAAATGCTGTTAATGGTTCCACTATATTTTCGACCATAAATCCAAATGCTGGTTTAGTTTGGTAAGGCGACTGAATACTTAAAAAAATGGAGAAACTGTTTTCTTCTAAATAAACCACAGTATGAGGAAATACAAAAAGGAATATTCTCTGTTTCTGGTTTAATTTTTATGCTTACCATAATGCAATTACTTTTATTATAAAAGTAAAATAAAATGGTGTCATGCCTGTGACTCCTCAATGAACCATTACATTGGAAAATAACTGATTGTATCATGAGACAAAGATATTGCTGTTATTGTCTTGAAAAGGTAGAAATGAATAATTTAGCAAATGTTAATAGCACAAGTGGGATATTACTAAATTAATAGTAGGATGGAATGAAACTTCTGTCAAATGCACCTGCAAAAGTAGTATATCTTTGAATTATTGTTGAACTTATGACATCTCTTTCAAGTATTAACCATTGTGATATCAGGCCAGTCTTGCTTGCTTCTTCAGGCAATGAAATTTTTAATTGAGAAGTTTTACATACCTTAAAAAAACCTAAGAAATATGTTATGCCAAATGTAGTTGCTTATCTGTGAGCTGTTGTTGCGATATCGCAAAGAATTTAGAATATGTATTAAATATATTTTTATTTGTAAATTAATTAATGTCTTATTAAAACAATGAAGGAAGACTTTGACTGATGGATGAATTAGTTTTATAAATAGCTGCTGGTGTAGTGTAAGTTAGCAGATTTGGCTGACCATTGATTTTAGTTGCTCTGCTAGATGTACTTCATTTCATTGTTTCGTGCTCCTCTTTCCTCCTTCCTTTATAGGATAGTTTTGTTCTTTTCTTAAATATTATGTAGGAAATATTTGACAGATTATAGCTGTAGTTTCATGCATTAGCAAAGAGATTTCTAACTTCAGGGTATAATTGCTTTTCTCCCTTTCTTCCACTCCAAGTAGTGGTTACTTTCCATCTCCATCAGACATCTAGCATTAATTTTTGCTTTGTGAAATAAATGCTACAAGGTTTGAGGATTCTTTTTTTTTAATGGCTTGGGAATGTTTTACTCTATCTCTTACAATAAGATATACTTAATTGCTTTTATTCTTCATTGTTACGTTTTGATTCTGAATATGAGTGAACCCTGTCATCTGTGCTCTTTAAATCTAGGAACTGAATTGGTGTAACTGGTGTACTGTTGAAGGCAGTTGGTGATAGTATTTGTATTTTATTCTCTGAACATCACTGGCTTCAGGAAAGCAGTTGTGAGAGTGATTTCTAACCTGTAGTCTCCTTAGTAGGGGAGCAACACGCACTAATGCCTGCCAGGGTTGGTCAGTGTAATCACCTTGGTAAGCCTGAGATCATAGGAGTGGATCGATCTCTCTTCTCCTGGCTCCTGTTTGTTGATTTTAGTTGTCTTCGGTTGGGGACACCAATGCAAATAGATCTGTTATTTAGCAGGATCTTAACACGGCCACTCCATGTGTATCTGCTCACTCAATGGGCAGCAGAGCCCTCTCAATGTCCTGTCAGAAGCTTGGTAGGAAAAGACCAGAGCTCTCAGTGTAATGTGCCACAGGAGGAGAGCAGGGATGTCTTTGTAGATAGCAAGGAATTTGCAAATTAAAATCCTAAGTAATCATACAGTAGAGGTCAAATGAACAAACTGCCTCTGCTCCCAAACCTCTCTGCCCCCCAAACAGAAAACTTTAATAGTTCTTGCTGACCTGGCTGAACTGGGTAAGCCAATCTGGCCGTAAATCTTGTTTAGCTATGAGCATCTTATTGGGATATGCTTTACAGCACTCTTCCTCAGACTCAATGCAGTCAGGTAAGTTTGACTCAAATATGTTGGTTCTCCATGTAATTAGTTTTAAAAATATTCATGAGTAGTTCACCTACTTATTTAAGTTTGAAAAAAATTTGGAAAAAAAAATACTGGTCGTTTAAATATTGCCGTGTTGATCTTTGCATGAGAATCTCAAAATGAAACTGTTTAGATCATATTAATTGAATAGACCAGAAAAGCTAATTTTGAAAGCAAGTTTGAAAAGCTAATTGGGTGAAATAATTTGTTTATTTTAACATCATCTCTTACCTGTCATGGTCTCCTTTTAAATGTTCCAACTGGTAGGAATAAAGTATTACATCTTCTTCTCATTTTTAATATTTAAGTATAACTACTACTAGGGAAGAAGAACAAATCGAAGCACATGTGATGGGACTTGTGTTTAGTATTGACTGTGTTTTTGTGATTCATTTGAAGGTCATTCTGTGAGACTACTGGGTCAGAAAAAGGATAATGGAAAACGTTTGGGAGGAGCACGACTGGATTTGCCAAAGATTAGGAAGAATCCTCTGATAGAAATCATTTCCATCAATACAGGGTAAGAAACTTCCAAACTTATAAAATATTCAGTACTGCTGAGGAATTCAGTTCATCACTTTCTGTAGGCCTGGTTTATAACTCCTAAGTTATACAGGAGAAGGAGGGATGAGCACTTTGAATGGTAAATGTTTTTATGGCACTCTCCCTGCAAAATAAATCCCTGCTTGTTTGGGTGCACGACTTCTGCTGCTCCAGGGCCATGTACAGTCATGCAGCCCTCTTAGTAGGTTTATCTAACTCCTGGAAAAAAAAAAGGGGGTGTGGAGGGGGGGGGTGGGCATGGGGGTGGATGCTTTTTTTTTTTTTTGGTCTCCTGTGCTCTTTTGATTTTTTTGGAAGGCATTTGTTGAATATCATTCTTGTTGTTAACGTCTAAAAATGCCTGATTATCAGCCTGGATGTATTAATGGCTAAATTAGACATATTTGTTCTTTTCTTGCTGTTTACCCCTCTGATACGTTTGTAAAGAGCTATGATGTTCATATTTCAGCCTTTGCTTTGTTTGAATAAACTAGTCTCTGCCTATCAAGATCACCATTTCTCATCTGTAAGTCTGTGAGCATTTTTCTGTTCTGTATTCCTGCTTTGAGGGACTGCATTTGTAATCTCCCTTCAGTTGATGCCTGCCTTTTCTGGACTCCACTCAGTCATCTCCCTTTGGGTCTATTTTCCAAAAATCACACAAGTTCTCTTCCATTTTTTCAGTCTCCTGCAAATTATGTAGTAATTTCCCAAGTGGTGAAATATAAAGCGCTTTGCTCCCGGCCCTGCAGGCAGATGAGAACTTACTAGAAGAAAAAGTACGGTTATTCTTAGCTTTCTTCTTTTTCAGTTTAGTCTAGCACTTTTGTAAACGTTTCGTAAACCAATTTTGCTACTGTCTTCTTTCTCATTTACTTCCTTATCTTTAGATATTCTTTTGTTCATATTTTGCTTTAATAGCCGGTGTGCTTTTTACATCAGAGTACTAGTTCAAAATTTAGTATTTTTTTTCTTCCTCTAACATAAATATGTAAATATGTGAGTGCCATTTTGTCATATTGCTGAGTTGTAATACTTCTTGAACTGCAGTTTCATGTAGTGGTTGATTTTTTGAACTCTGGATATGAGCTCTTTTGCTGCACTTATTTGAAATGATCTCAATTTTCTTTCCTTATTATCTTTCCCATAGACATCTTATCCATGCCCATGCGATCAAAATTGTTTTTGTGATTCAAAATAAGCAAAGTATTCTTTTTAATTTGGTTATGTCTAGGTTTCAGATGATATAAATATTTCTTTTCTATCAGTATTTGCCACAAACTCTTGTGATAACGTCATTCTAGGTGTAAATGTTGTCAAGAATGTAAACTGATTTAGACAGTTTTATTGTATACATGTCTTCTGATTTGTAATAGTGCATTTAAGATAGTAAATTATATTATTATTTCCAGTACTAGATTGTTATTAGCCTAAAGATAGAAGTATTAGAAACAGGATACTACAGAGCGTATACACTTACCACTAGGCAGCTGATCAGAGTGATAACAGACTTTATTTTTTTTATTCTGAAAATATATATTTTCCTATTGAGCTTTAAAAAAATATTTTCCAAACCAATCAAATTACAGACAGTTAACATCTTCCTAAGATATTACCTCAGGAAAACCTTTTTATTTAAGACTTGACAGCTTATAAAAGCTTGTTACTTTGATTAGTAGTTATTGCTAGTCTGAGGTAAATAAAATATGCATGTGACACTTTAGGAAAATTTAAAAATAGCAGAAGCTACAACACTGTATTTATTTCCTAGGGAGTAGAGCAGAGAATATCAAAGTGGTTTGAAAACCTCAGATGGAGAGGTTGTATAGGGCAGCTAAATTAACTAGTGTCATATTCTGTGTTATATAGCACACTCAAGGAACACTGTCTCTCCTGAAATACAGATTATTGCTTTTGCCTGTCCTTTTCCCCCAGGCCCCAGCTGTCTTTCCACCCCTGTATTGCAGATGCCTCTTTTGGTTATTGCCATGGCTTTAAAGGTTAAAAAGTGCTGCCTACGAAGGCACTCCACAGTTTTCTCAAAATGCAGACATACGCTCAGCAAAGAGCAAGCCACAGCACGTGTCGCTCAATTTTGACTGTGTTCCTTTTATAAGCTTCGCCTAAGTAGTCTGGTCGAGGGGATTTTAAGTATTAATATCACGTTGAATCTGAGCTATTTTCCCTGTGTAAAGACTGGAAAAACCTTTGAAGATTTGGTAGTGTTCTTTATTGAAAGAGGAATTTGGGTCAGACTAGAAGGTTTTAAAATATAAGACGTAGTTTAAAAATAGCGATTTCCTTTTTGGAAGTATATTTGTCTGGCGCTGTTGAGGCGCAGCATCAGGAAGCAGCAAGAGCAGAGCTGCTGCCCGCGAGGGAGCAAGAAGGGAGCTGGGGTGCCCCCCGCACCGGCGGGGTGCTGTCCCGCAGGGCCGAGCGCAGCAGGCAGAGCCGACCGCTGGTAACGGGGTCCTCCGGCAGGCTCAGACACGGCAGGTGGTGAACCGGGTCACAGGGCTCCCGGCAGGAGCACGCGGAGACGGCGCCAGACGCTGGCCTGGAGTCACAGCTACCTACAGCACCGGTAGGAGGTCCATGCAGGAGACGGAGATAGAACTGGGGACAGGCCCACCAGTTAATTTCAGACCAGGACTTAGGGGCTCAGGCTAGGCTTAAATGGGGATCCTGGCCCAGAAGGGTGTGTGGAGGCCCCAGCTGAGGCTGCTTAAGACAGTTAAAGCCTACTGGTGTCCTTAGGGCCATGACAGGTGGTGATGCATTACCTTCTAGAAATGGGGTCTTAATGAACCCTTGGCTTCTTCTGAAAATCTCCGGAGGAAAAACTGATTTGCTTGAACATGTGTATCCCATAGCCCCAAAACATTAGAATCTCATGTTAACCCCTTTCCCTCTCTAGTAATATGGATATCTTAGGCATTGAGAAAGGTTAAAATTCTGTTCTTTCATCATTTTTCTGTCTTGAGCAGTTTTTCAGTCTTATGGTAAGTTGAGGAGTACGGGGATTGAATTTTTCAAAGAGTTGTATTTTAATTTTATATGAGGCCATAGAATATTCTCTCTATATCTTGCATTTCAGCATTTGTTTAAGATCAAGTCTATAAAATGCAATGGAGTTATATGGCCATGTAAGTACAGGTAATCCTGTTTAAGTATGCCAAAAAGAGGACATAAACTTAAAAGAAATACTTCCAACTCCATAATTTTTTTTAATGCGGGCATTTGAAGGAAGTGTATTTGATTTTGTTAACTTTTGTCACTTTCTAAAACTTTACAATAAGAAAAGTTTTTCTCCTTATTTACTTTTGATGGTTAATAACTAGATACCTGTGAGGTATTAGATAACATAATGGGTGAAATAATGCTGATAAGAGGTCTGAAAATTCTTTAGTGGTATGCATAGATTCATTTTGCTGCAGGTCTTTTTCATTGAATTAACACCTGTTCATCACTATTTTTTTCGGTATTAGAAGTGGATCATACTCCTCTTTAGTTAGTGCAGTGCAGTGCTGATTTAGATGTCTGATAAACAAGAGAGATCAGAGGCTTTCCACATAAGATGGCACACAGAGGCAGTGGCATCATTTCTGAAATCAGGGGTTTACAGACAAACAGATACCACGAAGGGAAACCCATAGCCCTATTTACCTTCCCTTATAGGGGAATAATTATTGCTTTGTAATTATTTGATGCCAGTACACTACTTTGGTTTTGTATGATAGCTATTATGAGTTTGACAGTAATGTAGTAGTTACAGGACTGTAGTCCAGTTAGAGCAGTATTTATTCCTCTGCCAGCATAAGCTACTTCAATGAGAGGTAATGAGGTCCTTGAGAGCACTAGATGATGTTGCACTTTTTATCAGTGAGGCATGCATCTATTTTTTAATCTTAGGTATACTGCAATAGGGCCAAGTAGCTGACCTGGTGTTAACCAGGCTCAGAGGAAGAATCAGAACCCTAAGGACATGCTGCATAGGATTGAACTATGCTGGACACAGAGTTGGGAGACTGGTCTGCTGAATCTGGCCACCGTCCTCCAAAGGTCAAGGTCTGTCTTTTTTTGTGGGCTGGGGCTGCAGCTCGGGATCTGCAACCGTCTTTGCAGTATTGGTAGCCAGAGGAAGTTTCTGGCTGTGGCTGAGATTCTCTCTCCTGTTTTTTTTTTTCCTCCCACATTAATACCATAAGAATTGTTTTACCTGATTGGCTCCTGTTCAGCTGTATTACCAGGGTGCTGAGTGGTTGCCCTACAGTGGTTTGTGCTTGTCCTACGATATTCTACTGCTGCCCTACCGTTTCAGACCGTGTCGTCACTGGAATCAGTGTCAGCTCTTCCCCTCCTATTACAATACAACTTTCATATGAGACCAGCGTATCACAGGGACAAGAGTGACTGCACATCCACACTATTACTTAACAATATGTAGCTCCCTGTAAGAAAGGGATCATGGTCATAAACAAGGTAGACATGAATTTTAAAGCAGGTGGTCACTATGTGTTGATAAACTGCATGTTTGCCATGGTGCAGCCTGGCTGAAGAGCGATCGTCTCTAATTTAAAACAAACATGCGCCACAGTAGTTTAGTTGTCAACTAGTATGCGCTAGAATCTTTCTAAGTAGAGGAGCAAATTAGAAGTTGGTAATAGCTGTAAAAAAAGACCCTACTTCTGATGGTTACATCCCTGAGTTTTTGCAGTGGGCCATGTTGCCTGTGCAGATTTTTGGCTAATTGAACTGGCTGAGCGAGTTTTCTACCTTTTTGTGGTAGTTAGCAAATGTTATCTACACCTATGGGTCTAGCTGTTAAATTGCTTTGTGCATTCACGTTACCTCTGACTTCTTTATAGCCTTTGGGATGAGTTTTCTGAAGGCACCATCTTGAAACTATAGCAAAATATTTCAGGCCTGTGTTATGCACTACGGGAAAAAAAAAAGGAAAAAAAAGGATATAAT